TCGGTCTCCCTCCTCCCTTGCTCCTTCGTCCCTCTCCCTCCTTCCTCCCTCTCCCTCCTCCCTCCATCCCTTTTCTAAATCCAAACCATTTCTGAATGGTCTTTATTGGGTAGAAATGAGAGAAGCTAATCATCCAAGGGGATCGTATGCAAGGGGATCGTATGCAAGGGTCTCATGAGTAGCAAGGGCAGCTATGGCGGGAGTACAGAAAGCATACCTCGCTCGATAAGTGATGGAATCGAGGAGAGGAGAAGCCTAACTTGGGGTTCTGGAGGCTGGCGAATCTAGATATGTGGTTGGTTCTAGTAGAGGGTTAGCAAGGGAAAAGTTTGAAAAGAATACTGTTGCCCAGAGTGTCGAAAGATGGGGTGTGGCACACGAGGAAAAACGCAAAGTCTCGCCTGATTCTTGACGGAATCGAGCGGGAGAGGATGCGTTTTGGAGGTTCTTACGTAGTGTGAGGCGGATGGCGAGCTCAGATCCTCGGTTTGTGAAGCGGTCTAGCGTCTACAGATTGGGAGGGAAGCGTGCAGGAAAAATGAGTGTATCTATCCATGTTTTAGCGGAAAGTTCACTTTCATTCTTCTTCGATAGTTCATTACCAGCGAAGTGAGGCACGTAGTCGTGGCCAAAAACGAAAGCGTGATCCTGCTGCTCATGGTTGTTTGTTGCGTACGCGATCATTGTGATGTTTCGTATCTGGGTTGTAACTTAGCCATATTAGCAGCCAAGTGCATTTTGTCTGACATTATAGATTCGCGGGTAGCTGCTTGCAATCTCACTCCTTGTTACGACGGAGGTTCTCTTTCCGACGGAGGGCTTCACCGGTGTGACCTCGCATAAGCCCAACTGTGCGGGCAGCTAGGTACATTCGTATGTCAGGGGCTGTAGGGAGAGAGAAGGAGAAGAGTGGTACCTACATATGCATACTCGGTCGTAACAAGGAGTGAGATTGCAAGCAGTGAGATGCATACTCGGTCGTAACAAGGTTAGATGCATACTCTCTCTCTCTCTCTCTCTCTCTCTCTCTCTCTCTCTCTCTCTCTCTCTCTCTCTCTCTCTCCCTGCAT